ATATGTGTATATATATATATATATATAATTAATTTTACAATAATTTAGGGTTATATATCTTGTCAGATTTCATGGTTGAATTGTGCTCCTTAACTCCTTATATCTTTACATTTTAGACAGGTCACAAAGGTATTAGGTTCTAGGGAAAGTCAGGATATATTTTTGTTCTTCTATGCAAAAATGTGTCATGTGTCCCAAAGACCTAATAGTAAGTTAGGTTTTAACTATTTAAAAAAGTTTATTAAGAAATGTAGTGATCTTTGCATTTAAACATTTTCCCCTCCCCTTTCCCCCTTTTTTTTGATGTTGATAGGTTATTCCTAATGTACATAACAAGGTAAACAAGACCACCAATAACCAGGACAAAGACTCCCAAGAGAAAAAAGAAAAGGTAACATCCCACTCAAGCTTTGAAAAAAAAGTTTTTGATTTCTTTTGCATCTCTAAATAGTAATGAATAAAAGTGGTCTTCTTTGATGCGTGTCAGCATAGGAGCCTGTATTTATAAGATTTCCTTCCCGTGAACGTAACTGGTTCTCTCTAGGCTGAAGGCCAGAAGCTTGGTCGAACACAGGTGTCAAAATATTATAAAAGACCAGCTAGCCGTTGACAGCTGTCCTCGCTTTCCTGTTCAGCTGGACGGGTTGTTTGTCCATTCTGAGAACATGCCTCTCACACTCTAGACTTTGATCTTGCTTCTCTCTCAGACTAGAAGTCCATTTCCCACATTACTCTCTCATAAAAAACCCTTTTCATCCATCAAGGACCCGATCAAAGGTCATCTCCACGGAGGAAACTTCTCTTACTCTCAGTCAGAATTCATCACCCATTTCTGTTCTTTTCCCACCATTATTCTGTTAGATTTGTTGGTCTAAAAATTATTTTAGGATATGGTGCCAGGTGGGATGAATTTTCATTTCATCCTATAAAGATAGCTCAGTGTCCCACGGTCTAACGATTGGATCTCCTTTACCCGCTGGTCAGAGTACAACTCTGTCATATCTCAGCTTACAGGGAGGGCCTGTTTCTGAACTTTCTCTGTTGCATTTCATCTCTCAGCACAAATGCTGTACTACCGAAATTCAGCCTAATAACAAATCTTGTTTTAAGGTAGAGCAATTCCTTTTACATGTTTCTCTTCCTTCAAAAATATTTTATTGTTTGTGTCCTTTATCTTGTCCATATAAATTAGGATCAACCTGTCAAATTCCACACACAGAAAAATCTCTTCTGAGATTTTTTTATTGGAATTGTGTTGAATCAGTGATTTATAGAGAAGTTACATCTTTCTGATGTTGAGACTTTTTAACTATTCACAGTTAATTCTTTCAGTTAATTTTTTTATAGCTTTCTTCAAAAGGATATTGTGAATGTTTTCATTCATTCCTAAATAATCTTAAATTTTAAATTGCTATTAAATATCACTTTGAATTTAGTTTTTGCTTGATGATAATATGTACACATAAAAATGACTTTTAAGCTTACTCATTTTTTTCCTCCATGAAAGTGAGAGAGAGGTGGAGGGAGACAGAGAGGCACCTGGCAGGGTCTACACACTGCTGTCTGCCCTAGTCGCAGTGGGTCTGAAACCTGGGCATGAACACCTGCCCTGCACACGGAGACACCTGGATGCAAAAGCAGAACCTTTCCCAGGTGTGTCCAGTTGTGGTAGCACTACCACAGTACCTGCCCCTTTTCTCTTAATTATCACATCAAATAATCCAATGCCAAGCACCAGGTAAAACAAAATGATGAAATAAATTCAAATTCCTCATAAACCTACCACCTAAAGATAGACATATTAAATATTTTGTTTAGAGCCTTCTAGTGTCATTATATATGTGTTCCATGGGTAAATGTAAAATATTTTTATTAAGGATATGAGGCACAAATTCTAATATTCTGTCTATACATTTTTATTTGGGGATTTTCTATGTAAATAATAATAAACACTTTGGAGAGAGACCGGGATGCAGGTGGGGAGGAGTGTAGAACAAAGAAATCAATTCTTAAGAGGAAATGGCCACACCATAGTCCCTTCTCCTCCACTCTCCTCTTGGGATTTTGGGGACACACACTACATACACACACACACACACACACACAGAGCACGTTTTTCAAGCTGCCTAGTCTGAGACTCAAACCACAAAGTGGGCCATATAAGATCAAGCTCCCTAAACCAGCATGCCACTGTCCACTGTCTGACCCATAGCTAACATTCTTTCATTTTTCTTCCTGATACTTTAGGAAGTGCTTTTTCTTTTAAAATTTGCTGAGGGTGAGGGGACCAGCAGTTGGAATAGTGGCTGTGTCACTGGACTCCCACGTAGTCAACCGCGGTTCGTGTCCCGGACCCGGTGGCTTAAAACTCACGCCGGGCGCGTGTGCGTGCGTGCCCAAGATCCCAAGAGGAGAATGGAGGAGAAAGGATTACAGTGTGGCCATCCCCCCGGGAGGTGATTTCTCGCTTTCTATCTCTCTGTCTCTATCTTTCTGGCGAGTGCATGCACCCTATAGCAAAAACCTCTAAAAAAAAAAATTGCTAGAGGGGTTTGTTTGGGTGTGTGTGTGTGTGTGTGTGTGTAGAGAAAAAAAAAAGGCACTTGTCAATGGGGCTGGGTCACACTGCAATCCTTTTTCCTCCATTTCTCCATCTCATCAGGATCCTGGGCACTTGCGTATGTGCCTGTGATGTTTTAAAAGCCACCAGGTCCAAGATTCAAAACCTGGTCAGCCACATGGAATCTGGCTTCCTATCTATAATGCTTAACCACTGTACCATGAGGCTGACCCCTTCTTGATTAACCTTGAAAGCAATTTTTAATTTAAAATTTCTTTTAAAAATTTTTTTTGAAAAAATATTTTTATGTATTAAATTTTGCAGAGGGAGCATGTGCTTGCCAGAGAGAAAAGGGGATACAGCGGGAAGGTGAGGAAGCAGTTCCCCTGAGCAACGGCCACATCACAATCCCTTTTGCATTTCTCCCTCCTTTTGTGGTTTTTGGGCATGCATGCACATGTGCCCATTGTGTTTCTGAAGTCACTGGGTCCAAGACTTGAACCACACCATTGGCAATGTGGAATCTGGCCTCCTAAACCATCGTGCCATGGGCCGGCCTTATTTTTTATGCTTAATTTTGTTCTCATTTCTGTATCACCTGACTTCTTTAGTTTCATTCTCTTTTCCTCCTTAACCCCAGCATCTTTAATTACAAAGTATATTATCAGCCTGCCTTCTTTTCTAGAATAACCATGTTTTCAATATTTCACAATGAAATTGTTAAAGGTAAAAATTCCCTTCCCTCCAGGAGCCTGCGTTCTAGTGGGGCAAGGAAAGCCCGACAGACTTCAATGACTGCTGCTTTACAGCAGTTTGAGTACCTGCAAAATGTGACATCTGAAAGTCTGGATTATAAGCTCCATGAGGGCAGGGACCTCATCCGTCTCGTTATAGCTCTGTCACCACTGCCTAGAGCACTGCCTGCTGCCTGTTAAGACTGCACTACAGAGAGATTTGTTGAATGAATGAGAATCCTAAAACCAAAATGGAGTCTCCAGCTTTAGGTCCTCAGGGATTTACAGGCATCCTCTGGGCAGGCTCCATTATCCAGCGCTCCCCTAGGTCTCCTGACTTAGGTCTGGGATTTGTGGTTGTATTTGGCCACAGACATGCTACGGAAACACTTGAAATTTTAATTGCTCATTTTATGTGTTTAAGGATTTCTCAGAATGTTTAGTCTATCCTATTACTGGAATTCTGACAATTTATGTTGTTGTTTCCAAGAGCTAAACATTTGGGGCCAGTGGGTGGCACGGAGGCTAGGGTACTGGATTCTCATATTGTTGACCACGGTTCAAATCCTGGACCTGATGGCTTGGTTTCTCACTTTCCCTTTCTCACTGTGTCTGTCTCTGTGAGCTCACATGCTCTAGAGCAAATTAAAAATAATAATAAATAACAAGATCTATATATGCGCTAGATATTTCTTGGAAATTCATAATGAACTAGTTAATATGCAGCATTGTGAGGATAAGGCATCAAAAAGGGAATGGAGGGAACCAGCAGTTAGCGTAATGGCTATGTCTCTGGACTCCCACGTAGTCGACCGCGGTTCGTGTCCCGGACCCGGTGGCTTAAAACTCACGCCGGGCGCGTGTGCATGCGTGCCCAAGATCCCGAGAGGAGAATGGAGGAGAAGGGATTGCGGCGTGGCCATCCCCCCTGGGGGGTGATTTCTCGCTTTCTGTCTCTATGTCTCTCTCTGTCTGTCTGGCGAGCGCACGCGCCCTATAGCAAAGAAAATA